CAGGGGGTTTAACAGACATATTTCCTTTCCCACTCCTGTTTTCACATTTTCTCCTTCTCTCACCTCGTATATCTCTTCTTCTATAACTACACACTGAATCACAGGCTGCTCTCTCTCCTGGTTAACTTGCTGCAGTTCATTCCTTTCTTGTGTCCCATTTATTTGCCCTATATTTTTCTTCTCCTTATCCAATGGGCACTGTAAATTACTCAAAAAGTTCTCACATGTTAAGTTAAGTGCTTTCTTTAATTCTTCTTGCAAAATTTTTTGGAAATGTTCTGACCTAAGTTCATTTATTATTGTATCATTTATCTCCTTACAAACGGCGTCTATCTCCATTTTTTTCTGCACTCTTAACTCCACTCCACTTTCTTCCCAACATTCATCACAGTCAATCGGAAAATATTTCCTTAGCCTTCTTAATGTTTTAGTGTCATTTTTGGAAAAGTGGTACTACTTCCAGCAGAAGCTGTTTCTTACCCCAGCAATCCTTTTCAGTCTCGGTTCCAAAAAGCGTTTCCTGGGCGATTTTCTTTACCCATGGGGAAAGTCCGCTAGGGGGGTATTTCAATATATCCTTCTATTTCGACCTGTTTATGCACTCCAAAAAGACATGGAAAGTGTCCTTCAACAAACAAAAAGAAAATTTTTTAAAAACCCGGCTGGCTGCTGCTTGTCAGGAACATGGCAGCCATGTTCCCGTTCTTCGTAGTGCTCCCGCTTCGAGGCAGGCCGGTCTCACCCCCCTCCTTGCCAGGGAAAAGGGGGGGCAGCAAAGCCTCCTGCCCTTGGTCTCCCTCCAGGAGAACCAAGCGGAGTCACCCCAAACTTCGGGGGGGCCCAAAAAGAGCACCCGAGAGATGCGCGACCTGGGAGCTCCCGGGAAGCACACCGGACGCAGCGACGCACCGCCAGAAGTCTCCATCCTAAACAATACTTTTTAAAAGGTTCCACTTTTATTTTCAAATGAAGTTGATTTCAGACAAATGTCCCTCTATATAAAGCAGAAGTGGCAGAGCAGCTAACGACCACGGGCATGGAAAGGCATCACTGCTGCAGAAGGAGCAGTGAACAAGGATGTTTACATCCATCCCCACATTTGTTGCTAGCCCTCAGGGCCAAACTACATGTTACAGCATCCACAGGTTGGACTCATGAACATTGTCACCATTTTAGAGAAGAAATCAGTCATTTTAAAATGCCATGAGGACCATATCAGGTGCAGCGGGATCAGGCTACCTTGTTTCCCCTCAGCACTGGGGGAGGGCTGCTTTGGCACTTGGTAATTGCTTGTTCCCTCTGCATTGCAGGCCTGATCAGGATCTCATAGATTTTTAAATGGCTGAATTCTGCTCTAAAATGGTGACAACATCCATAGGTTGGGCATTGTAATTTCTAGTTTGACCCTTATCCTCCTTTCTGTTGCAACAACAATTGTGCTAGACTCTCTCCCATGGCCCAGCAACCCCCCTTCCCTGCTGAGCCATAGTCAAAGCTTTACTACAGCTCAGATAGAAACAGAAAAAAGCCCTGAAGGTCTAAAAGGGGTGGGGAAGAGTGGAGATGCAGAGTTTATCTCTGCTGACTCCCTATATTGGCTGTGGGTGGAGCATCCGCATAGCTGCGCCATCTGAAGCCACCCTATTGTTTTCTCTTCTGAATTTTAAGGAGAATGCTGCACGTAGGAATGCCCAATTTAAAGGAATAAAAGGATAATGCCTCAGGAGCCCCACACATTGTGCTTGGAATGAACACGAACCTCATGTCAAAACTAAAAACAACATACTTTTTTTAAAAAGGCAAGGCCATTGTGTGTTATGCAGGGAAAAACATGGGGAAGACACCTCAAACCCATACGTAAACTAGAGCTAAGTCACCTTTTATTGAAAACATTGTCCCATTTAACAAAGCCTAATTCTCTAACATGACTACATAAAGAAATATTAATAGTAGGGGCAGAATTGTTTTGAATTTAAGGCTATTATGAGATTTCAGGCTGCCTTGGTGGAATCACAAAGATTCAATGGCTTCCTACTGCTGTAACTCTGTCTAACACAATGTGAACTATAATTACAGATGAAGATGAATCGTTAGAGACAAACTCAGAATCTTTTGTAATGATAGTTTTATATTTTTATGCCAATTTTTATACAGAAAACATCAGCATATCACTGCAAGCAATCTAACTGTTGCTGGACAATTGAACAGAACTCAGCCTGCATCTATGGCTTTCTGGTTTCCTAGAAATTAGAGCATTGCTGGTAAATTAAATATTCCATTAAGTCACACCTGGAACGCGGCCACGCGGGAGACCTCTTCAAAACTGCAGAAGTTTTAAAATACTTCCAGCTGCTTGACAATCTGCTATTTATGTACTCCTACAGAGAAAACCTCAGTATTTTATAAAGCATCTATCTTTTCTTTCATTTGTGATTAAACACTACATATATTTCCCAGGTTAGGTGATCACTATGATGTTTTGTTTTGAGTGTTACGTGAAATAAATTTCTTATACTGCACTGATCATTTAACATGTAGGTCTCTGTGTACCCATAACAGCCAAGGAGTTATTTCCCCAATGACTCACAGAATATTTGTGAAAAAATCAAAACAAAACCCCTTTCAGATGGTATTCCTAATGTTGTCCCCAGTTCCACAACAACTATGTCAGCATTCTGTGTAAGGAAGGTAAAATCAAACAATATTCTGTCCCACAAAATAGAAAGTGAGTAACATTGCTCTGAGAGATGGTGATTGCCTTTTAAATAAATCAGGTACCTGATCTACAATATTACCAGGCAGAGAATGTACCACAATGTTTCAAGAATTTTTAAAAAGAGAATTTCACAATGTGTGGGTGCTGGAGTTCAGTACTATTTTAAATTTCTCAAATGATCGTTCCTGCTTTCTGGTCTAAAATGGGCTGAGCTCCTAGCCTCAAAATATTTTTAAAAGAATTATTAAAATTTACACGGTTGGTGTTTTGGGTGGTGATGAAGATAACACCAGCCCACCATCCTTCTCAGCCCCCCCCCCATGGTCAAGTCTGGCATCGCCAGTCCTAGTTGGGTCACAGATGAACCTTGTAAAGATTCTCATACCAGATAGCTGATCAGATAGCTGCTGAGAGATGACCCTTTGACAGCTTAGCTGACAATCAGCTGTTGGGAAGCGCCACTATGGGGCAGAAGAAGGGGAGTAAGGGGGCAGGAATTGTTCAAAAGGTGTTATGGGTCCCTTGCAGCCTTGGTTATGCCCCAATAGGGCTTCTGGGTAGAGGAAGGCCACTGGGCACACCTCAGGCCTGCCTAGGGCATTCAAAAGGATTGAGCAAGGAAGCTAATGAGTAGAAATGGGCATGAATTGGGAAAACATGATTTGGTTTGTGGTTTGAGACATGTCCCGTTTGCAAAACACAGACTGTCATGAATTTTAGTTTGGTTAATGAGGTGTTATAGACACCAAACTTGCAGGGGATCTCTGGCTGACTCTCCCCTACCTGCCCTCAAAGTTTGGTGAGGATTGGTGTTATGGGGTCTGAGTTATGACCCCCCCCAAAGTAGATGCCCCCAGGAAAGTGCTTTTTTGGGGAAATTATCAGCTGACATTTCCCCAGAAAGCACTTTCTTGGGGCACCTCCTTTGGGGGGCTGTAACTCAGACCCCGTAAATCCAATCCTTACCAACCTTGTAGGGGAGGTAGAGAAGAGTCATCCAGAGATCCTCTCTGTGTTTGGTGTCTCTAGCTTGCACAAGATATGTTCTATACACTCCTGAACCTACATCTGTCAAAATGACTTTGACAGGTTCAGGAGTGTATAGGACAGATTCTGTGCAAGCTAGAGACAAAAGTTGGACGGTATATAGAGGGGCATCTGGGGAGGGGTCTGCTGCAAATTTAGTGTCTCTAGCTTGCACAGAATCTGTTATATGCACCCTTGAACCTGCACCTGTCAAAATGACCAAGGTTCAGGAGTATCCAGAATAGATCCTGTGCGACCTAGAGGCATCAAAGTCTCGAGGAACCTCCCCTGGATGCTCCTCTACATGCCCTTTGAAATTCTGTAAACATTTTGATTGAGCAGAGACAGTCTGTCTGGGAATGTATTAGCCAAATTGCCTTGAATTATTAATTAGTCTAGGGAAAGTTATTATTATTAATTGGCAATAGGAAAATTAGGGTTCACACCAATGTATACAGAAGTCCCACCTTTGCTGTAAGCACCAGAACATATGCTAATAAATAAAGATAGATCCTTAACACAATTGCTTTACCAGGACATTCGTTGGTTGGGCAATATTTACCTGTCTTCATTAGTTGAGCCGTTCCAATGAAAGAATGGAGGGGTTTATACATAGAAAATGGGGAACACGTGTTCTGAACCAGCAGAACCACATGGACTCTAGCTGCAGATCTAGAGTTTAAAGATGGAGGTAGGGTATGTGGATAGCAAGCTGGACATAAGAGGGTTAAAGCTTCGATAGGGGTCGTGGAGAGGGTAAGAGAGAGACCATGTCGTCGGGCAGCATCTTTTATAACGTGGTGTGGGGGGGCTGGCTAGACTGGCCACATCCCCCTGTGACACCTTCTGTTAGTCCGTCCCATAAAACATACTATTGGCTGGCTGGAAGAGGGGAGGGAGACTAAGGAGCTAGAAACTTAGACTGAGGACTGGCACCTGGATGAAGGATGATTGAATCATCAGGCTAGGGATATTGTCTCTTGATGGCCCTAGCGGCTGGCTGATGGTTGAGCAATTAGTTGCTAAATAACTATGAATAGAGTCTCTTGATTAGATTTGTAGGTAGCTGGAAGAGGGGGAAGAGAGATTGCCTACATATGCTGGAAGAAGCTCCTAATGGCATCTGGAGTTCTCTGTCCTCATGTTTTTCCATGGCATGGCATCTGAGACTGCATACAGGCTTATGGAACTGCTTCATCTCACAGCAGGTGAGATGTCTGATGACTCTGAACTAACACTGTGACAGCAACATTAAAGGAAGGTGTCCCTCTTTCAGGTGTGCAGTCTCAACAGGTATTCTCAGGTCTCCATATTATACAGTCCCTTTGCACAGTTCATATTCCATAAAAACACATTGATAGGCTTGCATGGCAACAAATGCCTCTACTCACTAAGCTGCACCAGGAACCAGCCAAAATTCATCATGAATTTTAGTTTGTGAGTCGATTCGTGCCCATCCCCTACCGGTGAGGACCAGTGGAAATAGTACAGTGAGCTTATTTCTATTTTCTGCAGATAGCTTGCCACCAGCACTAAATGCCCTGCAGATAGGCTTTGGCCTTTGTGCCCAATGCTGATGTCAAACAGTTCAGCCTTCTGTTCCTCAGACCACTTGTCTGCCCTCTGGGCCTGCAAATATTAGTTCAAGCACTTCTCTCCACTGGGCCCAATTCTCAGCAACATTCACAGAATCATAGTCCATAGGGGTACTTGTCTGCTCCTGAATGCCATTTCTGCTGTGTTCTGTTTACCTTTAATAAATCTCATTTATGTCTGACACCATGTTGTATAACTGGTTTCTCACAAACAAGTCTGCACCACAAGACCTTAAGCCTGTCACTGTATTTTATCAAAATGCCTTTAAAATGTTGCTGTGAAGAAAAGAGGGGGAACCTTGCACACCGTACTAAGGAGTAAGAATGGCGTAAAAACCAAATGTAATTGTATTTGAAACCAGATCAGAGTGAGGTCGAAGCTTTCTGTTCTCATTCAGTCATGTTGTGGGTAAAAGTAAGAGGAAAAATGGCATGTGATAGGAGCAGGAAGTGTAATCACTGCTACTGCCAGGGCTCTGAACAGTGTGAACTAGAGTTGCCAAGTATTCTGGCAGGGGGTGGGAGGGAGCCTTCCGGGAGTGGGGTGGGGCTCCACCCCAAACAGTGATGTTGCGTGGACACATCCCCAGTGCGATGATGTCACATGGAAGTGATGCCATCATGTTGGAGACATTGTACAGTGATGCTCTGGTTTGAGGACAAAACTCTGTGGTAAAATTGGGATCAAACCATAGAGTTTTGTCCTCAAACTAGAGCATCACTGTGTGACGTCCTCGACAATGATGACATCACTTCCACAGAACATCATCACATTGGGGACATTGCCACGTGACGTCCCTGTTTAGGGGAGGGTTTTCCACCACTGGCCAGCTGGCTGGTGGCGGCCAGAAGCCCTCAAAAGTGCGGGATCCCCGCCCCCCTGGGGAATGAGAACCCTAGTGTGAACTGGGGGTGGGTGGGTTTGAGCCCAGTAGATTTCAGGATGTCTTTCACTCTGGATATCAAGATTTGACAGGATTGTGTGACCATGAGTAGATTTTTCTTTTAACCTAAATTTCATGTGGCTGAAACAGACTACGATTGCTAGCAAATATTCTCATGCATATCTAGGGTTACCAGTCTCCAGGTGGGGTCTGCAGATATCCCAGAATCGCAACTGATTTTCAGACTCCAGAGATCAGTTCCTTTGGAGCAAATGGCAGCTTCACAGGGCAGACTCTATTGTTTCATATCCCTGCTGAGTTTCCTCCTCTCTACAAACTCTACCCTCCCCAGGCTCCACCCAGCAGTCTCCAGGAATTTCTAAAGCTGGAGTTGGCAACCAATTTTGAATCCAGGTTACCCCACTCCTAGTGGCACAGAACCACTGTGCCACTGGTTCAGTCTCACTGGTTACAAAACATCATAATGCAACCAGTTCAGTGTGAATATATTGTTTTCTGGCCCCATTTTGGCATCTTCTGGGTAAAAAAGCAGAGAAGATGGAACATAAAAGGATCAGGTAGTTTGGCCAGCACCAACTGTAAATGAGTGAGCATTTGCTACTGGTCACTGAGCTCCACCAAAAATAGTCCAAATGGAAATTTAATTGGACTGGAACTAAAATAAACTCAAGTGAAGCATTTCTTGTAGCTTTGTCGCTTCTGGCCAGGGTGGTGAAACTAGAGTGCCTTATTTTGGCTCAGCCATCTCTGTAACAGGATCATTGCCTGTTCTGAGGCTTAGTACATTTTTCTGCTGAGAGACAAAATACAACATTTCCCCTGAAACTACTTGAATTTACTCAAACTTATCATTAAACAAGACATTAATGTTTAGAAAATCATTACACAAGCAGTCATGTCAGAATTGTACATTTGTGACCATGGCATTTGAGGCATTATGCAGAGTGTTTAATTAAATCTCAGTTGTAGGTTATTTACAGGTATCACTAAACATGATAGTGGAAAATGTATCCAGTTCTTGTTCAAATATGCACTGAAGTATTTAATGCACTGTTTGCCTACAGGAAGCCATCTACATTTTAAGAATGCATTTTATTAACTTGATTCTTTTGGTTCTTTCTAGGATCGGGTCTTAGGATCACTAAACTTGTTAACATTTACCTAGACAACTGATCAGGTGACCATACACACTGGCATTCAAGGATG